AAACAAAGTCTTTGTAAATAGGGAGGGATGGAGGGGTTGAAGGGAGGGCAGGGGAATGAGGAAAAAATAAGAACCAAGAGAAATTATGTAAAAGAGCAAATTTCCAATGATGAACGTCATTATATTGTATACCTAAAATGTACCAATGAAATTAATTAAAAAAAGAAGAAAAATAGCAAGGGGCAATGAAAAATTAATCCAACTGCCAGATGATGCAAATTAGAATAACATATGATTGATTGGGCTGGGTATGCTAGTGGATGCCTATAATTCCAGCACTCAGGAGGCTGAGGCAGGAGGATCACCTGCAAGTTCGAGGCCAGCCTGAGCTACATAGTGAGACCTTGTCTCAAAAAACCAAAAAAAATTATAAAAGATTGATTGGAGTCAATGAAAAAGCAGGAGAAAGTGCAACCAAAATAAACAAATTTGTTCACAGAAATAACAGCAATCTCCAGAATGAACATAGACACAAAATCTTCAATAAGATACTGGAAAACAGAATGCAGCAAATTATCAAGAAGCTTATATACACCATGACCAATTAGGATTCATCCCAGGGATGTAAGGATGGTTCAATATACACAAATCAATAACTTTTTTTTTTTTTTTGTACCGGGGATTGAACTTGGGTCCTTACACTTGCGCAGCAGGGGGTGAAACCAGAGCTAAATCCCCAGCCCCACAAATCAATAACTTAATACACCATATTAACAGAGCCAAGGACAAAAACTACATGATCATCTCAATAGATGCAGAAAAAGCATTCGACAAAATCCAACATGCATTCATGATAAAAACCCTACAGAAAATTGGAATAGGTAGTCTTTGTCTCAATCTGATAAAAGCCATCTATGACAAACTAACAGCCAACATCATACAACTGGACAAAAACTGGAAGCTTTCACTCTAAAATGAGGAACAAGACAAGGACATCCACTATCACCACTCTTATTCAATATAGTTCTGGAAACATTAGTTAGAGCAACTGGACAAGAGAAAGAAATAAAAGGAGTAAGGATAGGAAAGGAAGAAGTTAAATTATCATTATTTGTGATACTCTACATAGAAGACTCCAAAAACTCAACCAAAAGACTTCTGGATTTAATAATCAAATTTAGTAGCATAGCTGAATACAGTCAACACTCAAAAATCAACAGCATTTACTGTATGCAAAAAAAACCCCAAAACTCAATGAGAGAGAAATTAAGGAAACAACACCTTTCCCAGTAGCATAAAAAGAAAATCTAGGAATCAATCTAATGAAAGGAGTAAAAGATCTTTACTTTAAAAACTACAGTACTGGGCTGGGAATTTAGCTCAGTGGTTCCACCGCCTGCCTTGCAAGTGCATTGCAAGCACAAGGTCCCGAGTTCGATCCCCGGTACCAAAACAAACAAACAAACAAAAAAAACAATAAAAAAACTACAGTACTGAAAAAGGAGATTGAAGAGGATGGAAAGATATCCCTTGTTTTGGGTAGGAAGAACCAATATAGTGAAAATGGTCAAACTTCCAAAATTGTTATACAGATTTAATACAATCCTGATCAAAATACCAATAGTATATCTCACAGAATTAGAGAACAATCCTAAAATTCATTAGGAACAAGAAGAGGCCTAGAATAGCAAAAGCAATTCTGGACAACAAAAGCAAGGCAGGTGGCATCACAGTCCTTGACTTGATACTATAAAGCTACTGTGATAAAAACAGCATGGTACTGGTGAAAAAACAGAACCGATCAATGGAACAGATCAGAAGATGCAGAAACAACTCCAAACATACTCAGCCACCTTATCTTTGACAAAGAAGCCAAACACCTTCTCTGGAAGAAAGCCTCTTTAATAAATGGTGCTGGAAAAACTGGCTTTCCACATGCCAAAGATTGAAACTAGACCTGTATCTTTCACCATGCCCTAAACTAAAATCAAAATGAATCAAAGATCTAAATATTAAAACAAAAACATTACATCTGCTGGAAGATAGAATAGGTAGAACTCTTTAAATGACTGGTAGAGTGCCTTGCTGCTAAAGATAGTGGAAAACTTTTAGGCTTTGATTATATTAACCCTTTGGCAATATGTGAAATCACTGGCTAACTCCTTCCTTGTTTTGTTTTTGGTACCAGGGATCGAACTCAAGTCCTTGCGCTTGCTGGGGAGGTGACAGAACCATTGAGCTAAATACCCAGGACTGGCTAACTCCTTTTTAAAGGTTTATCTTATTCTTTTGCTTTGTGGATTTCTTCCTCTACCCATTGTTAAAATTTGGTATTTTCACCATTAGGCCCCTCTCATTCTTTATTGTCCAGTTAACCCCATGTCCCAGCCTTCACTGCCAATTCTCAATAGGGTTTTTTTTTTTGAGACAGGGTCTCACTACAATAGTACTTAAAAGGCTGGTTTTGAACATATGTAGCTCAGGTTGGCTTTGAACTTGTGGCCATTCTCCTTCCTCTGTCTCTCAAGTCCTGGCATTACAGCAGTGAATCACTATACCTGGCTTCATTAGTGCCCTAAGAAAAAATAATCCAGAACATTTCTGTTTAAAACTCCTCAGTGCTGTTAGAATCAACTCAAAAGAGCTGGCAGGATGTGCCCTCCTTTACCTCAAGTAATATCTTGTCACTTCCCACATTCCATTAAACAACCTGAAGTTTGAGTCTCACTTCCTTGAAACTTCTAAATCCTTGTTATACCTCTTGACCTTCTACACACTGTTGTATTCCTTGATTGTAGTAGTAATCACTTCCTATTATGGTTTTTCTGGCTAGTCCTCCTTTCTTTCAAATTTCACCTTCATGGTCAGGTCACTTCTTTCAGGATGTCTGCTTCGCTAAGCCTTCTCTAAAATAAATGTTCCTTCTAAGAAATCTGCAGCATGGGCCGGGAATTTAGCTCAGTGGTGTCACCACCTGCCTCGCAAGCGCAAGGACCCGAGTTTGATCCCCGGTACCAAAATAAAAAAAAAAAAAAAGAAAGAAAGAAATCTGCAGCATACTTCATTTCTTCCTTCATAGCAATATACTCATGTTCTTGCTAACTTAGCTTTAGCTTTACGGTAAGTTCTGTGAGGATAGTGGCTATGTCTAGCTTGTTCAAAATTCCCAGTCATACTGGGCCTGGTTCAGGAAGGGTACTTGGTGAATATCTGAATGACTAGATACCCTGAATTAAGTTCTCTTTCTAATCAGTTATTTGATTTTCAGGGAAATAATTTATGGTACAACTTTGCTAATATTTTATAGGAACATAAAAATGTTAAATTATCTTTCTACTAAAGACTATAAAAAGGTATAAGCAAAGTTGAAAAGTAGTTCTGACCATCAGTATGGCAAATGAAATGCAAAAATTCAATTAATTTAGATAGGAAGATTCTTCAAAACATACAAAGGGTCTAATTAATAAAATATTCAAGAACACAGAAAGATAATAGAAAAGAATGCAATTCCACCCACAAAACAATGAAAAGACAGTTTCATTTTATAGAGTTTTATTACAGGATGTTAATATTCAGGACACGGCAGAGCACCTTATACTTCTAATCAGGTTTTTGGTAACTGGATTTTAAGTGTTGAGTATTTTTCACATACCAGCTTTCAGGCAAAAATACTACTCAGTGACTGTTTAAGAGATGTTAATTTGATTAAATAGTTTATCCTTAATAACCTGAGACATCAATCCATGGATGGCTTCTATGGTAGTTTTACAGCTGGAAAGAAAAAGACACATTATATATTGAAACAGCTTGAAAACTATTCCAAACATGCAAGTTTTCTCTTATATTCATCCTTGCTTTTATTCATCCTTCACTTTTATTCATACACCCAAAACCATGCCAATGTAAAGTGTCCTTGTGATATTTGGCCTTCTGCATGTATTTTAACCCACTTAATTACTTACTAGAACTTTCACAAAAGAATGACAATGTAAAATTTTATATAAATCATAACAGTTTTGTTACTCGTCAGCAGCTTCGAGAAAAATTCTGCTTTAAAGGGCATCTACATGGGCATGGTGGTGCAGCCCATAATCCCAGTACTAGGGAGGCTAAGGCAGAAGGATTGCTGTGAGTTCAAGGCCAGCCTGGACTAGTGAGTTCAAGCCAGCCTGAACTACATAGATAGAGATTCTATCTAAAAAAAAAAAAAGCATCTAAAAGTACATATTAACTATGTGTTATATAACAAACAGTAATGTACAATTAATATTCACTATGTTAATATCACATATTAATCTATAATCACAGGTGATTCCAATATTACATAAACTGTTATTCCTTATTACCTAGAATAATTTACAAAATACATTTAAAGAATTCTATGCTCGGCCTGGCATTTAGCTCAGTGGCAACGCATCTGCCCCCCAAGCGCAAGGTCGTGAATTTGATTCCTGGTACCACAAAAAAAAAAAAAAAAAAGAATTCTATGCTTTTTTCCCTGAAATAATCAATCCTCCAAACAATTAAAAATCAATGACTCAGGCCGGGGATTTAGCTCAGTGGTTTCGCAGCTTGCTGTGCAAGTGTAAGGATCCAAGTTCGATTCCCGGTACCAAAAAAAAAGAAAAAATCAATGACTCAGACATTAGAAATGGTAAAAAGTAAAAAAAAAAAAAATAAATAAAAATAAAACCTCACTACCATCTGTGAAATAGTATTCTTGTAAAGCTATCCCCAAAAGGAAAATTCTCTGCATCTGTACTGCTACTTTCGTCTTGCCTACTTTCCTTGTTATATAATTGAAGATATTCCTCTAGGAAAATTTTTGCTTCAAAAGAAACTGAGATGTAAGTGTAGATAAAATTACAAATTACAGACTACAAAGGTAGTTGAGCAAAAACATACACTCAAATCAAATTAAAAAATGGGTCCTAATGTCAAAACAAAAGGTAACTTTTATCCAGGCCACTCTTTCTACCTTCTAAAAGCTCGTGGAGAAGGGAATGAAATGATTCTAACCCAACAAGACTCTTTCCTGCTCCTAGAATACACTTAATCTTCCCTTCCTTCTTTTTCTTACAGACTAAGTCTGTTTTTCTTAAATAGATACCAATGTTATCATTTTATATGATGTCAACAGTTCTCCTTTTGCTCTTACCACATTAAAATTAAAATTTGTGCAAATACATATTATATTGATAGTCTTCTGTATGCTACACATCTGGAGGGCCACTTATTATTTATAAGGTATCTGAGAACACATCTTAAATTTATACCTAATAAATTCTTTGGTAGTAAAACTTGGGACACTGAATCATTTTATAAAGGCTAATTTCAAAAGCATAATTTAAAATGATATAATCATTTCTGTAGTATTATGAAATTTATGAAAAATTGAAAATTGGTAAATGTATGAAATCTTAATATCTCAGAAGAGGATTAGGTTACTAAAGCTTAGGGTACCCCTTTCTTAACAAAAAACTGATGGACTGGTTTTCTTTGCTAATTTGTTTGACCCTATAAAAGATGCCTGGGAGCATACCGTAACACTACTTAAATCTTTGATTTAAACTTTTAATCTTTTTATCTAATGTCTCCTAAATTTTCAGAGTTGATAACAGTGATAACTTGGTTGTCGACCTCAATTCACTCCAGATTTGTGTTTGAACATTGAAAAGTTTAAGAACTAAACATATTTTTCTCATAATGGAAATTTTCCCACAATGCAAATTTTTCCCATAATGGAAAATCAAATAATTGGTTCTGAGGCCCCAAAATTACACTTATAAATTCATTTTTCCTAACAAATTTTGCAATAATTTCTTTAACTCCATTGTGGTTCTTACAATTTTCCTCTTTTTAAAATTTTTTTTGTATTAAATTCTTTTATTGGTACATTGTAGGTATACAACACAATTACATTTCTCATTGGGAATTGTACCTTTATATAATGCATCTTGGT